CATGTGTGGTTTATATTTAATTACGGAAAGTGATGTGTGTATTTTACTTATTGTAACATACGGTGTGTGTGAATTTACTTACGTATGTACATGTGTGTGTGTGATATTACTTATGTACGTTACTTGTGTGTGAGATTGCTGTGTTTATTTACATACGTGTGTTGTGTATGCTGTATTTACATATGATCTTGGTGTTAATGTGTAGGCGAGTATTTACATACGTTACCTGTAAGTGTAAGTAGTGTGTGTATTTACATACATACCTGTGTGTGTGTGTGTACAATTAGATTAGTGTTTTAACATACATTACCTCCCTGCTGCTGTGGTTTGGATTTACATATGTATCTGTGTGCTGTGTTATGGAATTGTGTGTATGTGTACATACGTACCTTGATACCAGATACCGTGGTGTGTGTGGTCCTGTATTTACATACATACCTGTGTGTGTGTTGTTTACATTACGACCTGTGTGTGTGCTGTGTATTTTACAATGTACCTGTGTGTGTTGCGCTTACGTTTGTGTTTACTTACTGCGTGTGTGCTACGTGGTCGAACTTAACGTATGTACGTTGTGCTTTACTTACGTATGTAGGTGTGTTTACTTACGTATGTATGTGTGTGTTTACTTACGTATGTATGTGTGTTTACTTACGTATGTATGTGTTTACTTACGTATGTATGTGTGTTTTACTTACGTATGTATGTGTTTGTTTACTTACGTATGTATGTGTTGTTTTAATACCTTACGTGTATTGTATGTCGTGTTTTACTTACGTATGTACTGTGTCTTTACTTACGTAATTACGTGTGTTTACTTACGTATGTGTTGTGTTACTTACGTATGTACGTTGTTGTCTTACTTACATATGTACGTGTGTTCTTTACTACTATGTACTGTGTTTACTTACGTATGTAACGTGTGTGTTTACTTACGTATGTACGTGTGTTTACTTACGTATGTACTGTGTGTGTTTTACTTACGTATGTACGTGTGTGTTTACTTACGTACGTGTGTGTTTACTTACGTATGTACGTGTGTGTTTACTTACGTATGTACGTGTGTGTTTACTTACGTATGTACGTTGTTGTTTACTTACGTATGTATGTATGTGTGTTTACTTACGTATGTACGTGTGTGTTTACTTACGTATGTACGTGTGTACCGTGTGTGTTTACTTACGTATGTACGTGTGTGTTTACTTACGTATGTACGTGTGTTTACTTACGTATGTACGTGTGTGTTTACTTACGTATGTACTGTGTGTTTACTTACGTATGTACGTGTGTGTTTACTTACGTATGTACGTGTGTGTTTACTTACGTATGTGGTGTGTGTTTACTTACGTATGTACGGTGTGTGTTTACTGTACGTATGTACGGTGTGTTTACTTACGTATGTACGGGTTATGTGTGTGTTTACTTACGTATGTACGGGTGTGTTTACTTACGTATGTACGGTGTGTTTACTTACGTATGTACGGGTGTGTTTACTTACGTATGTACGGGTGTGTTTACTTACGTATGTTACGGTGTTTACTTTACGGTGTGTGTTTTTACTTACGTGTGTACGGGTGTGTTTACTTAGTGTGTACGGGTGTTTACTTACGTGTGTACGGGTGTTTTTACTTACGTGGTACGTGTGTGTTTACTGTGGTGTTACTTACGTGTGTACGTGTGTGTTTACTTACGTGTGTGTACGTACGTGTGTGTTTACTTACGTGTGTTACGTGTGTGTGTTTACTTACGCTTACGTGTTGTGTTACTTACGTGCTGTACGTGTGTTTACTACGTGTGTACGTGTGTTTACTTTACGTGTACGTGTGTTTACTTACGTGTGTACGTGTGTGTTTACTTACGTGTGTACGTGTGTGTTTACTTACGTGTGTACGTGTGTGTACGTGTACGTGTGTGTTTACTTACGTGTGTAACGTGTAGTTTGTTTACTTACGTGTGTACGTGTGTGTTTACTTACGTGTGTACTGTGTGTACGTGTGTACGTGTGTGTTTACTTACGTGTGTACGTGTGTGTTTACTTACGTGTGTACGTGGTGTTTACTTACGTGTGTACGTGTGTGTTTACTTATGTATGTACGTGTGTGTTTGCTTACGTGTGTGTTTACTTACATATGTACGTGTGTGTTTGCTTATATGTGTGTTTACTTACATATGTACGTGTGTGTTTGCTTCCCTGTGTGTTTACTAAAACACACATCTAATTCAGATTTCCAGTCCATGGCTTTCCTATAAGTCTGTTTACTTGGAAAGGATTGCATAGGCGTCTGGAGATTGTTAAGTACAATTAGTTTTGCATCTACACAGATAGTTGCAAGGGTTCTGGCGTTGTCATTCGCAGCAAACACTTGAGCAGGTATATCGGGGTATGTGTAGAGATGAGAGTCAGGGATGTCTCCAAACCTGGCGTTCATATCCCCGAGGATCAGAAACCTGGTTCCTTCCTCGGCAGATCTAACTCTCTCTTGAATAGCAGCACTAAGTTGTCCAGGGCTGAAATGAGGTGATTCTGTTGGGGGGATGTACATAAACCCTATCAGCAGGTTTGGCAGGAACGCCAGGCGTAGCCACACCTTCTCAGGCGTACTTGTATCCACACCTACGACCTTGTTATGTAGTGATCGTCGAACCATTGCAATCGTACCTCCGCGATGACCGCCACTGCCCACACTGCTCCTGTATGAGACATATCCTAGGATGGACACACGCATGGTTGTTTTTACTTCTTTAGTCCTATAATGTCAAACTGCAACAGTAAATCAACTACACCAGTCTTTTCTGTGTATACTGTGGTGTACTATATTGTGTGTTATTATATATGTGTGTGTGTGTATAATATGTGTGTGTGTGTATATATTGTGTGTGTATATATATGTGTGTGTGTATACTATGTGTGTGATGGTGATATATATGTGTATGTGTGTGTTATAGTATCTGTGTGTGCATAATCTATATATGTGTATATAAGTGTGTGTATATTAATATGTGTTGTGTGTGTATATGTGTGGTGTGATATATATATATATATATATATTATATATTGTGTGTGTATATTGTGGTGTATTATATATATTGTGTGTGTGTATATATATATATATATTGTGTGTGTATATATATGTATATATTGTGTGTTATAATAAATATATTAATTGTGTGTATATATATCTATAATATTTGTGTGTGTATATATTATATATACTGGTATATTACTATATATATATATATATATTGTGTGTGGTTATAATATATATATATATATGTATAGTAATATATTGTTGTGTATAATAATATATATATTGTGTATGTATTA